GTCTCTCCACCCGCCCACTTCAAGTGGCACTTCAAGGGCTAGAAACTTGCTGGGCTTGGCTTTTTCCTCATCCTCCCGGCAGGCAGCGTGAAGAATTGAACCGCAGCCCAGGAGACCAGCCGGCTTCACACGGTCGATGCCTCCAGCAAAGTCAAACCAGCCACTGCTTCTGCTGTCCTCTTTGTCCCCTTGAAGGAGGAATCCCCTCTTGAGACAGAGGAGCCTACATTGCCTGGGGCCTGGCCAGCTGCTGTGGTGGCTGACGGCTCTCTGGCTGCTTGCAGTGAGGCGAGGAGAATCCCAGACCCTCTGACAGGCTTGACCAGTTGTTGCAGAGTCTCCTAAAACTGTTTTGGAGCTGCCTAAAGTTGTGCCTATGGTGTTGCCTCTTGGTGTGTGGGGTGTAGCTGTTCCTCAGCTGTATGGGCAAGGCAGGGAGGAGGCTGTGTGCGTTGGCCAGCCCTGGTCCTAACAGTACGGCTTGAGACGTTGTGCTGTATCACCTATTACACCTGTTTTCGTTTCCTTCGTGGCCACAGCAGTGCCTCCTCCGGTCACTCTCATACATCCTACGCAGGTTCCCCACTTTCTCCTTCCAGCACTGCGTGTAAGAAAGATGGCTCTGTTGTCTTGCTGTTGAGTTTGTCTTCCTGTCAGCTTTGTGTTTGTATTGAGATGTTTCTCTGAGAGCCGAGAGCTTCCCATGCTTGCTCTGATGAGACCACTGGTGGGCAAACCAGGCTGCCGCTTCCCCTGGGTAGGTTGTGTTTTGCCATGTGCACTGGGTATCCCTGGGTGGGAGCTGCCGTGGCAGTCTGGCTGGTACGACTTTGAAGCAACAGGAATCATGCTGAGAAGGTTGACTTGCGGTGAGGCCCTGCTGCACTGGGTGCTGTACAAACGCTAACGCCATCACTGCTAATCCTGGCTCCTAGGAGGCACTTCAGGACAGAGATTAGATGCCTTGAGAAGAGCCTCTAAATCACATCGTCAGCCACTGGTGAGGGCGTATGGTAGGCGCTGTGTTGTATCCCATGGGGGATGCAGGACACTCAAGATGCAGAGCCTGAGTTTTGTGTTGGAGATCCCTGAATTGTGTAGCGCTTCCCTGCTGCTCAGTCCTGTATGCCCTTCAGCGAGGAGCTTGCTGGAGCTCTTCTCCAAGATGTCTTAGAGCATAGTGCTGTTACAGCTCATGAAAGGCTGTGTGGGCGAGTGGAGATCCTGCCTCAAGGCTGGGCTTTGTATTGGGCTGATCTTCTGAGGGGAGGGATGGTTTTCCCAGCCCCTCTGCATTTCGTGGAGGGTTGGCACATCCCAGTTCTGCTTGCCACCCTTGGGAAGGATGGCGTGGGCTTTAATGACTCCAAGCCAGGGCAGAGACGTTGGAGCCTCAGGGACTGCTCTGGTTTATGTCACCATGACCCCTCATCTTCTTTGTCTCTGTAGCCCATTGAAAAGCTGGTGGCTCTTCTGAATACTCTTGACAGATGGATCGATGAAACCCCACCAGTGGATCAACCTTCTCGATTTGGGAACAAAGCCTTCAGGACCTGGTATGCCAAACTAGACCAGGTGAGTATGTCTTTCACGTGTAGTGTTACATGCAGCTCCTACAGAAGGGCAGTGTGCCCAGCAGGGACAGCAGAACGGCTCCATCATTGTGCGGCAGCCAAGCAGCCTACAGAGGAATTGCTCAGATAAGCTGTGAAGGATCCACCTCTTGATATGCATCACTTACTCCTGATCTGATGCTGTCCTCTCCTCTTAGGAGACCATATGGTCCACATAAATGCTCTTGGCTGAGTCTCCAGTCCTGGATGAGCCACAAGAATCCTCCAAGCCCAAGGAACTCCTTTGCTTTGTAACTACCCACTGTGTCTGCTAGCTGATGAGTGACACAAAATCAGAGGAAGGTTGTGAAACTGCTTGACTTCCTTCAGCTCGGAGCACTTGCCCTGCCCTGAGCTCTGGAGGTGGCACAGGCACATTCCCAACAGCAATGAGCTTGCAAGAGGTCTGCTGTTCTATTAATGCTTTTGTCCTGGAGATGATTCGGTGGGTAACTGGGTTGATGTACTTAGATGGTGAAGCTTATTTTTCCTGCAGGATAGGTGTGGCCTGGATAAGTGTCAGGACAAGCTCTCCCTGCACTGCTCCATTTCTGGAGATGACTTCTTCAACAGGAGAATTTGCTCTTCTGTCATGCTGGCTCTGGCCATTGTAGGAGTGCACCGTTCCAACTCCTCCTCTGCAACAGTGTCTGAGCAGAGGGTGCTTTGCTCCTGGGGACTGTGACAGATCTGCACTCACTCGAGGGAGTCTTTTATGTCTTTCAGGAAGCAGAAAAGTTGGTGGCAACAGTGATCCCCAAGCATTTGGCTGATGCTGCACCAGAAGTGGCTGTGTACCTGAAGGAATCTGTGGGGAACTCCACCCGCATTGACTATGGCACAGGTACCTGGGCATGCGTGCTGGTTGAGGCTTGTCTTCCTCGGGTAGTGACCCTTTGAAGCCTAGTGCTGCATTTATTTAAATATGTTACTGCCACTGTTTTTTAGCGCCAGCTTGGTGTGAACTTTAGTGCCAGCTTAGTGCAAACACCTTCCTTCTAGAGCCTTCTGACCCCTCTGTGCAGTGTGGGTCATGACTGAGAGAGCTGGGGCTGGCAGCAGGGCTGTGCTAGAGCTATGACACCCTTTTCATGTTTCATCTGAGGAAACGTGAACCAAGCTGCGCGAGCCCTTCTGGGATAAGCTGTAGGAGCTACTTTACCACATACAGCAGTCCCGCACCTGCTGATCTGCAACAGGCAGCTTAGAGGGATGAAATATAATTCCTTGAATTGGAAGTAGAGTGGGAACCAAATTCATGTTCAGTGGGAGGTGTCATGAGGTTCAGTAGTCCCTAGAAGTGACATCACTGCTTACAGAGGAACTTTGAAATCTGATGGTAGAAGTGTTTTGTACCTAAGGAGATACTGAATTGAAGGTTGAAGTAACCACACTGGCTTCAGTTAGATCTAAATCCAGAATCATCTACAGGCTCTGCTCCTCTGGCTGGAGGACAGGTGTGTCCTTACTAAAGGACAGGAGAGCAGGATGCTGTGGGTGCAAGGAAACATGACTTTGGACCTGGTCAGGGAGAGGAAGAGGAGGACGTGGGTAAAAGGATGAAGAGCTGGAGGCTGTGCAGTGCTTGCCAGGAGAGCTGCAGCTTGCCAGCACCAGGGGGAGATGTTGTCTTTGGAAAGGGACCCGCTGGCTGGGTTTTTGTCAACTCAGGGAAGGAAATTCATCCTTTCCTCCCCTCCTGTGTGTCCCAAGCCAGCGGCCCATATCCTAGCTCACAGCGGCTGGACCATAGGTGCACTTTGTTCCTACACCAGGAGCTGCGCTTCTTCATAGCATGGATCTCGTACTGCTGATCTCGTACTCTCCCTTCTTCCGTGGTCCCTTCCACTAAAACACATTTCTGCATTTGCTGGTTGTTTCTTTTCCTTGCTGGAGGACCAAGGTGCAGGGGCTCAGCTTGAGATCTTAGTACCTTCTGGGACGGATTGTTCCCAGCAGCGTCATGGGATCTGCATCCTTCCGACACAGAGATATTTTTGAAGCAGGAGGAAATCTGTTTACTTGCAGATGTGAGGTTCTCTCGCATCCCCTGTGCAGATAGCTCTGCGGTGCTCCACTTCCACTGCTGTCCCAAGCTCCTGGGAAAGGCCCTGCCTTACTTCCAGCATGACCAGTGTTTTTCCTGGAGCTGTTTTTCCTCAAGAACTTATTTTCTCAAAGTTAATAATCACCTTACGAATATCTAGAAGGTATACTTTGGGTGGGTGCTGCCTGGGGATGAAATATTGTCAGCTCATGGTGTTGATAGGGCTGATAGGGTTGGGGCTCTTGAGACGGGACTGGGACTGCTGTGATTTCTGAAGAGCCGTTGTGGTGCCCACAGAAAGGTCCTGGGGACCAGAGACACCTGTGTCACATCTCCGTGTCTTTTTAACTCCAGGGCATGAAGCTGCATTTGCAGCCTTTCTCTGCTGCCTCTGCAAAATCGGTGTGCTCAGAGTGGATGACCAGATGGCCATCGTCTTCAAAGTATTTAACAGGTGAGGAAATGGAAGGAGAAGGCTGGAAGCATTGAGGGCAAATCCCTGACAGTGTCTGCTTCCAGCTGTCTGAGATATGTGAGAAGTTACTGCCTGTTCTGTACACCAGACTCCTCCTGTAGTCTGGACTGATTGTGTCCCTTTTCTTCTGCTGATCTGTACCCATTTGGGAGTAAGAAATTGTAGGAGCCTTCTCCTGGGGTGTGAGCTGAGCAAATCAAGGGCTTCTACAAAGGTGTGTGCATAATTAGAGAGCATGAGTGCTGAAGGACTTGCAGGCCTAGGGAAGAAGGACAGAGTGGGAAAACTGTAGACAAAATCAGGAGGCAACTGTACTTTTTAATGGACTGTACAGTGACCAACTGCATCTATCTCCAAAAGGGGTGACAGCACCTTGTCTGATAGAGGCTGGGTGTCTTTCTGGAAAATGAACTTTAGCTGAACATGAGTTATAGAGCTCCACAGAGGTATGTGGGTGAAGCTCTGTGCTTTGTCATAGACAGGAATATCTGATCAGAGGATCTAACATCTCTTCAGGCATAAAAAAAAAATTAATTAAACTGACAGGCCCCCACTGCTCCTCTAGATGTGTTTCCAGCCCAGGAGGTAGAGTTGGTAGTGATGAAACTGGTGGAACGGGTGTTTAGAGCCCAGAGATCTAATCCCAGCTGTATCACTGTTTGGTGGCATGGAAACAGTTTCCTTTAACAGTACTTCCAGCTTTAATTTTCCACCTGGAAAGTGGAGGTAGCGGTTGCCATAAGGTGGAAAGTTTTCTGAGCTCTTTTGGAAGTTGTTGAAGGAGAGTGAAGTATCAATGTTTTCAAATAACAGCGGGGATATGGAAAGATCTTCACCGGCATTTTAGAAAGTGCTGGTATTTGCTGCTATACGTACCGTCAGGCTGCTTTCTGTGGCAAAGGAGCTAAATATATATTCTATGTACTGTGATGTATGTGGGGGTCCTGCTTGCAAGTGATAAAGGTTGTGTCCTTCTCCAAACTGGTTATTCTTGTCCTCATGTAAGTCAGAAGATGGCCTGTCTTAACCCTTCTTTCTTTCTTTGGTCTCAGGTACCTAGAAGTGATGCGAAAACTTCAGAAGACCTACAGGATGGAACCTGCTGGCAGCCAGGGCGTGTGGGGCTTGGATGACTTCCAATTTCTACCTTTCATATGGGGCAGTTCCCAGCTGATAGGTACTAATGAAAAATCTTCTCCTGTCCCAGCCTGCCCCCTGCCCCGTCTGTCTAGGTTGCAAAGATGATGGGGCTTGGGACTGACTTTTAAATTAAAATATGCCAAATTTGTCTATAATACAGTAGAAGAGTTTGCTTGGGGCTTGGACTTTTTTTTTTTTCTTCTCAGCTTTCCAAATAAAGCTAGTTGCTTAGATTGGGAGATGCAAAGCTTCCTTGACTACAAGCTTTTTAAAAAGAGGGTCTTGGTTTTGGTGCTAGAAAACACATTTTTCTGCCCTGGGGAGTTTACCAGGTGCCCTCACTGCTGAGGCACTGGAGTGGGAGATGAGATGGAAGGGAGCAGCTCTGTGCTGATATCTGAAGAACTCTGATGGGAGGATTGTGTTTCCTCTGGAAGAGGTGCAGGACAAGACCTGGCTGAACTTGATTTCAGAAGAGGGGTGCCATACAGGTTACTTCCTATTGTCTCTTACTCTTTTTAGACCATCCAAATCTGGAGCCTCGACACTTTGTTGATGAGAAGGTGGTAAACGAAAACCATAAGGACTTCATGTTCTTGGAGTGTATCCTCTTCATTACAGAGGTGAGGACTGGAAGGTTTGCCCCACAGGGAAGTTCTCTTGACATTAGATAGCTGTCTCTGGCTGTGGTTTTCTCTTCCTCCTTTGCTTGTTTGTTTGCTCTCATGGAACTGTGTGGATGAACCATTGTTGCATGTCTGAGGTGTTCTCTTTGAATGGGTTGAGACAGGGATGTTGAGAGGAAAGTATAATTAAGCTAGATGGGCTGTGGATTGCAGTCGAAGGGAGCTGTAACAAAAGCAAACAAATAACCTTGGATCAGTCAGTGGGAACTTGGACGGGGAAGACTGGTGCCTGCAAGTATGCTAGGAAGATGTAGTAGCTGCAGAACGACTGGGCTTGCCAAGATAACCTCCCTTCCCTCCAGCCCTTGGGTGCTGCCTGGCAGGCCCTGGGCCTCCCCTTGCTTAGGGCAGGCTCCCAAACCTCTGTGCAGCTTGATCTCCTCCAGATTCTACCAAAAGAGTTGCCCACTAAATGCGCCTTATTTGCAGACGATCTAGAGCAGAGATGGTGCTGAGTCTCACCCATCTGGCAGCACGATCCCGTTTCCGCTCAAGCACTGCGGGGCCCTTGGGTGAGGAGCTGGTGATATTCAGCGTGTTGCTGACCATGGGCAGTGTTTCTCAGCGAGGGAGCTCACGGCTTTCTGCCCTCAGCCACAGTGGATGATCTGGCCGTGTTCCTACTGTCCCCCTTGCTACACGGTCTGGGCAGGGAGAGCAAGAACCACACGCTCTGTTGTGGTGAGGGATTTCTTGTCTCTGGCGAGAGAGAGTTGATGGGATTAATTTTGAAGGACAGAGTGTGGTTCTTCCCCTTTTTTCTGTTTGCTTCCCCCCCCCCCCTTGCCTCTCTAATTTAGTGATTAGATGTGAGGGGACGTTACAGAATATGAACTTAGCCTTTCAAGTAGGAAATTTTCGTAGGAGCCTTTGGCCCAAATCCCAGGAGGTGCTGTGTCCAGTCCTGCTGCATCTGGTAGGGTTTGTTGGTACTTTGCACCTCACAGGGTTTAACCCTTAATGCAGAGATAAATCATACCAGGGGAAGTAAAGAGGCACTGGTGAAAGAGATCAGGATAAGGGCAGGAAATCAGGAGCCAAGATGCTCTAAGAATTATGTTAATTTGGTCCTCTGTAATACCCAGACAGTGCACTAACCTGTTAAAAACATGAAAACGTAGATCTATCGAGATGTGCGTAGAAAATTCTGCAGTGCACAGATGACACGTAAAGTTGAAAATACGCAGCACCATACTGCTGCTTCAGGTCACTCGGCTTTTGCTTGCAGAAAGTTAGCTTTTTAGTGGGCTTTTAAAATAAGCGATTTCACTTCTTTTTCCGCACATTTGTTGAGAATCATGGAATTCAGTGTTTGTGCTGCGTTCCTCAGTGCCACCTGGTGGCAAGGAGCCCTCTGCTCGGGCCCTGCTGGCGTGAACTGCTAAGGGATGGCAACAACTTGGATTATCAAGCGCATGGCATTTTCAATTCTTCATGCAAGCGCTCTTCATTTTTTGTAAAGATTTTGCTTTTAAAATTTGTTTTTTCTCTCCCAAATGCCTGGGAAGGCTGTAACTGCCACTAGAGGGGGCTGAGACAGCCCCAAGTGCCTCCAAATGCTTTCTCTCCAAAATCAACAACAAAACAAAATAGCAGGGAAAAGATAGAAGGAATTATAGACTTAAATAAATGAATGATATTGTTTTCTTCTGAGCTTTCCAGCTGGAAACAGCTCTCCTTTATAGCTGTTAAACACGTAGCAAACACCACAACATTTCCCATAGTGGGTCTGGTACGTCTTACCAACATGAGAGCACGTTTTGTTTCAGCAAGCTACAACGGAGGTAGGTTGTTTTCTTTCAACCAAGAGAATATTCTCTTGAGCAGGTATTTTTCTTAGCCCCTGGTTGATGTTTCAGGGATATGAATATACACTGTCGTGGTGTTTGCCACATGTATATTTAAACCTCAGGCTCTTAAAGTAGCAGTGAGATGATGTCCAGGCTGGACCCACTGAGACATCCTCCTTACAGCAACGAGCCTTGCATAAGCTGGCCGGCTGTTGGGAAATCTGCGGGGTGTTTTTGGACCTGAACGCGTGGTTCTTGAGTAGGGTGAGGTTTACAGAGCTGGCTGGGACTCAGCGCTATCCCCCGCTTCTGCCTTGCCTGCGGGGCGCGTGTGGTACCTGTAGGTGCGAGGATGAGGAGGGTTTAGGAGCATCTCTGCGGTGCCTGCCGCACTAGGGGCTGTGGACGGCAGCGATGGCAGGGCAGTGTGTGTTTGTGCAGAAGAGGGGTGCCAGGTACGCCCCGGCTGTTGCAGCGTAACAGTGCAGATGCTCCTCCAAAGGCAAGAGGAATTTCGGCTTCAATCTGGCTTCTAAATTTGGAGATTTGGGAAGGGAGGGCTCGGGTTTCGGCTGGAAGGGAAGGAGCTGACAGGAAAGCACGGCCTCAGCCGTCCCCCTCCCCCCGGCACTGACAGAGGAACCATTTACAAAAGGCCGATTCTCTTGGGAACTGAGAGGCAGGAACGCCGCGTCTGTGAGTAATTTCCTGCTCAATATGGCTGCTCTGACTCACTCCGTTCCCCTGGGGTCACTGCGGGACTGCAGCGCGCTTGCTGCCTCTTGCTCTCCCCCCCGCCCCCCCCAGCTCTCCCTCTTCACCCTTTGTGGCGTGAAGAAAATGATTTTTTTTTTTTTGGTTTTTCCTCCCTCATTCCCCTTATTTTTCCCTCCCCAGTTTGAAACCGTAGCCAAGCCGTCCCTTGCCGGGCTCCCTGGGTGAGGAGGGCCGTGGTGGTGGCAGTGCCAGGCATGACCGTGGGGCTGGCCAGCTGTGCTCACCTCTTCTGCGCTCTCCGGCACGCTCACTCTGGCTTGGGAATGGGGGAGAAGCAAAACGCGGTGGTGGTGGCTGATGCAAGCTGTGCCCCTGCGAAAGGCGGCAATGCTGGAGGAAGGTTTGCCATCGAAATGCACACAGGCGAATCTCCTGTTCGAGGGAGGATGCTTTGAGCGAACTGCCTGGCGCTGAGCTCCCCAGCAGCCTTTTAACTCGGGTACCCGCCGGTGCCAAATCCTTGCGTTTAATAACGCGCCGGCTCTGTCGGGTAACGTTGTGCTTTGTGTATCTGCGCGTTTCATCTTGTATCTGCAAGGAAAGCGCGCATGGCGGAGGGGAGCGGGAATGGCTGAGTGGCTCATCTGTCATCCCCAGCTCACGAGAACCGCTGTAGTTTTGCCCGCTGCCAGGAGAGCACAGACACATCCCCGCTTCCCCCGCTGCTCCAGCCCTGGGGTCAGCAGGTTTGAAACACTTCCTTCAAGCAGTGGGTTTTTTTGGGTGTCCCCCCCCCGCCCTTTCCCTCTCTCTTTCTCTGCTGCAGGCTGGTGCCACAGAGACCTCGCAGAAGGGCAGCAGCAATTTCCCAAAGCAAATTGATCAGCCTTGCTTGCTTTTACAGTGGGCAGAGAGGTGGTTTTGGAGGCTCTTTTCCCACCCTTGCTCCAGGCCTGTGTGTGCGTGGAGGTTCCGTCCCTGGCTCCAGGCCTGTGTGTGCGTGGAGGGAAGGGGTTAGTTGTTCAAGCCCTGAGTCGAGAATGGGAGTCCAAGAGATTCCTCTCTCCCCACGCTCCTTTTTAGCGTGAGCTTCGGCCTTGTGGTTTCTGATGTCATGGGAACTGTGCTCAGTCAGAGTGGCTGCGTTGTATTTCTTTTTCTCCCCGAGGGTCTGTTTTTGTTCATGGAGGAGAAGGAGAGACAACTACCCAGGGAATCTACATGCAACTGTCCCTGATTGCAGCTTCCCCCCTCCTCCAAACCCCTTGCCCTGGGAGGAGAAACATTGGAATATAAAAAAAAATTAAATAAAATTAAAAAAATTTAAAGCATCTGCTGCAAGCTAGCAACTCGCAGCTCTGGAGCTGGTTTGAAGAGCGGGACTGGAGCACGTCCCCTCTGCTCCTGCCTCCCCCCGAGCCCTCCTTTGCTAGAGGCAGGTGTGGAGTGGGCTGCTTTTTTTTTGCTGCCAACCTGTGCTGCCCTCTGTATTCAGGGAAGGCAGCAGCGGTTGTCGCTGCTGCTTGTTGTTGATCTGAATGGAGAATGAGTCATTTTCTTGGAAAGCCCAGCAGTGTTGCACTGGGAGGTTTCTGGGTAGAATAGGAACAGCATTGAGCCAAGCTCTATTGGGGGGGAGAACGGGACTTACATGGGGCTTTTTTAATGCAGTCATTAAAAGGGAGGTGTGCAGAGGGAGGTCTGATTAGGAAAGCGTGGCAGGAAAAAGCTTAATTTTATCAGGGAAGCAGGGAGAGCTGGATTGCCATGGCTTCATGTGATGTGGCTGCAGCGGGAGGGAGGGAGGGAAGGCGCAGTGAGGTGGCTGGTGCGTGGGTCACAGGGCTTGGTGGGAATGTTTGCTTGGAGAGAGTGTGAGCGTGAGTCACTGCTGGTGCACGAGCTTCCTGGCTGGCCTGGCTCCCTCAGCGCTGCTCTCGGGTCTCTTTCAGATGAAGACGGGCCCCTTTGCCGAGCACTCCAACCAGCTCTGGAACATCAGTGCCGTGCCCTCCTGGTCCAAGGTCAACCAGGGCCTCATCCGCATGTACAAGGCAGAGGTGAGCGCCGTGGGCACGGGGAGGCTGCTTGGCCCCACACCGTGGGTCAGCTCTCCTCTTCTGCTGCTCCTTGGCATGGGGGCCCCATCACAGCTGGTTGCTACCCCATGCTAAATGTGGTTTGGGACCCCTTGGCTGTTCAGGTGCTGCTGGCTAGGAGGAGACTCCTGCCTGCCTAATGTTTGCCCCAAAACCAATCCCAAACGGCTGTTCCTTGCAGACGTGACTTTTGCCATTTGTCTTCCCGTAGTGCAAGTTGCAGGTCTCCAAATTAGGGCCGATGTCTTGACCTGCCTGTCCTTCTGATCCCCACACTGCTATTTTACCAGCCAGAGGAGACTTAGTTTAAATTATCATCCCATGTTTCAAGAGCCCCAGAGCAGACTTTTTTCTCCCCTCTCTGAGTCCCGTCTGTGCAGTGTGCCAGGCCGGCGAGGCCACAGCTACCTCCCTGGCTTGGCAGCCCTCCACCGGCCAGGGTTCTGTTGGCGCTGCCCCAGCAAGCTTTCCTGGCGAACCCTGACCTGGGGAACCGGACAGTTTTGGCTCTCCCTTATCTCTCCTTCCTGCTCGAGCTAACCCTGAGCTTGAGGAAGCAGGACAGGAACCACTGCATCTGTGCCTCCGGAGGGAACAGCCGACAGGCGGCATCCCTTGCTGGGAAGGATGGGACTGTGCTGGCTCTGCGGGGAGGCACTGGCTGTGCTAAAGATGCTGGAGGAGAAGGGATGGCACAGCTGCCTAGCGCACCTGGAGAGACCGGTGGGGCTTGAAGGAGTACCCTGTGATCTCTGCTCAAGTCACCCAGGCTCCTGTTGCTGGGACATAGGGCAGAGGCTCGGCAGGCAGCTCCGCTCGGGCCCAGTGCACAAAGGGGTTAACTGTGCTGAGCGAGCTCCCTCCCCCAGCCCTTCCTCTGCACTGCACATCCTGTGTTTAGGTTCCAGGCCACATACCTCTCTAATCTGCGAGGTGTCACTCCCAGGCCCGCTGGCTCCTTCCGCCCCCAGCTCAGCTTTCCTCCAGGCCTCCAAAGAGGAGAAGCGAGGCTGGGGGTCGACCCCCTCTGCTGGCTGCTCCTCGGAGGGGTGCCCCTGGGTTGCCCCTCTGGGACTGCCCTGGCTCACAGCTCTGTCACGGGGCCTGGAGATGCTGCTGGCTGGGAAACCCTGAGCTGGAGGCTCTGGTGTGAGAACGGGGCGGGGGGCCTGGAGGGAAGACCCCACCATTGGGAGCACTGTTAAAGTGAAACATGGGTCCCCTAAAACCAAGAGCTTAGCCTTGGTCCTTGCTTTCCTTTGGACTGGTTCCTTCCCACACTATTTGGGTATTCCCCTGGCACCTCATTGTACCCCGCGGTGTTGGGGTACTCCCACCTGGTGCCCCAAATGTGCCATATGGTTGCTCCTACCTCACGCACCGTGAACGTTGCCGGAGGAGCTTGGCAGTGATGTGCCCAGGGTGCAACGTGCATGTCCACTGGTGGCTCGGGGCTGCTGTGTGCTGGCAGATTTACCTGGCCTGCTGGGGACAGTGCAGCTCAGGGATCTCTAGAGAGTGGGAGATTCTCTGACTCTTCTAGGTGTACCCGAGACATGATCTTTTCTGGAGGCCTTGGTCTATTTTGAATAACAGATGACGTTCTGTGTGGAAATGCTGAATCTGGTACTGGTGGGTTTCTAGAAATATCTAGAGGTGTAGCTGTGTCAAGGGGAGAATGCAAAAGCTGCTAGAAAGGGTAAGGACACAGATTTAGTCTAAGGTGTAGAAAACATTGAGTCAACCAAAGTGCTTTAAATTTATTTTTTTCCTCAAAGAATGTTTTTAGATCTTAAATGAGTATTCCTAAGCACACAATCCTCATGCAGCAGTGTTTTCTCCTGGTGCCTGTGTTCACCTGGATGGGCAGAGGAGAAGGAGACTCCTGCTGAGGAGTCCTCACTGGTTCTTTATATCTGCTCTGGGGATTCTCCCACCCCACTACTGGCTTAGCAGATGAGAGGAGCATGGACACGGCAGTGTCGCTGGGAGAGCTTTCAGTTACGGTGTGCCTGGCCGTGCAGCTTTTACCAACATTTGCAACTAGAGGATCTCTCTGATTTTCTGGGAAGGACACAATATTCAGGAGTCGCTGAGGCTTCATCCTTTGAAAACTGAATCCTGGGTGTTTCAGGCTAGGCACCCGCAGTTGCTGCTAAAGATCTTGTCTGTTTGCTGCTGGCTCCCGAAGCAGGTTTCTGCTGTGTAGCTTTCACCATTGCAGTCTTGCCCCAATTAGCCACTGTCAACATTAGCATAAGTGAGCCAACAGCCCCCAAGTGCTGACATGGGTCTTAAGGCAGGCAGCTTCTGTGGCAGAGCTCAGAGCACGTGATAGTAAAGAGAGGGAACGTTTTGGGTTATGGTGTTGCTTTTTGTCTGACTGGCTAAGGTGAGAGCAAGATTTCCACCCCCTTTTCCCCCTTTTTTTTTTTTCTTTCCCTTCTCCTGCCCCTCTGATCACCTGTTGCAATTAGATCAGGTGAAATCAGACACTTGGATGGAGGCGCCAGCTCCTTAACATGTCTGGGGTGGCTGAGAAGTGCTCGGTGCCAGGCGGTGCTGACCGTGACTGGGTTTTGAGTGGAGGCAGCAGCATGGTGATGGGGTCACTTGCTAGAAGCAGACCAGGAGGAATCAAATGCTCAACGGCAACCTGCTCTCGCTTGGTAGGAGTGGGGCAATCCCCAGACCTGGTTCATTTAAAAAGCACTCTGGAGGCTCTGTCTCTGCTCTGTCCCCTCTGTGGGATGATTTTAAACAGCCGACAGAAAGCTCAGGTGCATCCATGTGGCTGGGAGCTCTAGTCTGGATCCAGGCACTCTACGGTGCTTGCTGCAGGATCTGTGGATGGGCAGTAGACAGCAGACAATGTGTCTTCAGCTCTGTGTCTTTATGAAATCTCAAATGTGTCTATTTTAATATAAATATAATGGGTGAAGATGTGTTCACTTGGAAGTGCAAGGGCTTTTCTTATTCTCTCCATCAAAGGCAAGTGAAGAAGTCGACAGAATAGAGTGTGGTTAAAGCAGCAGCCTTGATGTTTTTCCCCTGAGCCTGCTTTTGAGTCTCCTGACCTTTCCTTCTCTGCTGCAGTCAGTCGGGAAATACTTTCCATTGTAACTAATCTAGTCCTAGTTCCATCTTTAAAGGTTGGACCTAAAACATGTTTCTACTCCCCAGTTGAGTCCTGAGCAGGCCTTCAGCGTGATGAAGATGATGGCAAGAAGAAAATACGCCTGTCCTTCCATTGGGCTACTGTTAACTACGTCAGTGTCACCCACAAGCAATGCAAGGAGGGTCCTGTCTCTTGGCACCTCTAATAATCCAGTAAATTTGTGCTAGACCTGCTGGATAGACAAGAAGTTTCTCTGCTTGTTTCTTGGGCTGTCAGTGTGTTAAGTGGAATGGATACTCATTCTTCGCACTGGTGGTCAAGTCTCTTCATCCAGAGGCCAAACCAGTCTGGTCTTCTGTGGGACTTCTTGGAGCTAGTTGGGGTGACATTTCTAGCTGTCAACATCTTCAATATTAATTTCTCTCTTTTCTTCCCTTATGTCACTGCTATCTAGCACTGCTTCCTCTGAGGGTTTGTCTAAGTGGCTGTGCTGGGAAATGGCAGCAGCTCTGAGCATCCCACACGTTAGGAAGCTTTGAAGGTGATGTGCCCTGATGGTCGCAGGACTTCTTTCTCCCTGGTGCCTTGCCATGGAGGCTTGTGGTTTTCTGCATGGCTGTTATTCCCCAGGAGTGGATACAGCCGTGCTGTGCTTTCACCACTTCCAAACTTGCTTTGGCTCCAGTGTACTTGCGAGCAGTTCAATTGTGCCAAAACCAGTTGTCTGACCTCTGCCTCCAAAGCGATTACCGTAGGCCTGGTCTTCTGAGCACAAACCCTCCTGCTTGCCCACAACAACAGGACGAGGGCAGGCTGCCTGCTGCTGCCTGTGCCCTGTTTGGGGTGAAGAGCTGCCTGCAGCACACGCTTCCTCCCCACCCCAGAGCCAGGATCTCCCCTGCTGCAGTGGGTTCAGCTTGGCCCCGTGGAGGGCACAAGGCTCCTTCCTATGGAAAGGAGAGTTGTAACTATGACGTGGCTCTTGCCTCCCTTTGGTAGGAAGGAATTGTGCTTTGAAGAAGTGCCTGGAGGAATGAGCCATGCATCTTGTCCTAAAGATCTGCCTGGGAGGCTGCTGGTTGCAGGCAGGAGCCAGTGTGGCCTTGACACCCTGCTGCTGCTGGGTCTGCAGTTTGTGGGGAGCCGGGTGCCTGCCTAGTGCAGCATCCCATCCAGCCTGGCTCTGAGCAGGTGCTGTTTGTGCCAAGGAATTGCTGGGACTGGATGGATTCCAGTTGGTTGGTGGCTGCTGTGCTTTGGTTGTGTGTACTTCACGTCTCCTGGAGAATATGACTCCCATCAGCAGACCTTGGCTGTGTACATGGGGAAGGCTTTCCTCCTAAGACACAGGACACTTGGGGTTTTTTTTTCTCCTCTTCACATCCTATCTAGGGAGGGAAGAACTTGCCCCTCTGCCTGCAGCAAGGAGATGGCCACCATCTCACTAGCCATGTCCCCAGGCGCCCTGGTAAATGAGTCCCCATTGCAGCACAGTGAGGTTGTCTCCAGCCCTTGTTTAGCACAACCGCTCACAACTAACGCGGGTGATGTTAGTGTAGGTGCAGCTGCTGGGTTGGTGTGCACGTACTGCTGAGGTCTCTGTGTCTGGAGGTGAGTCTGCTCTGTGCTCCCTGTGAGTTTTGGGCAGTCTGAGTCTGCAATGACTCAAAAAACCCAGAGTTCCGAGAGGCTGCGAGTGCTGGCAAACTTTGACGCGGTTATTGACCACAGTAGCTGGCCTTCACTGCCCTAGTGGGATGGTGAGCAGAAGGGGCTCTGCCCTCACAGCCCGGCTCTCCCTATGCAGAGCCTGGTCTTAGCTGGACGAAGCAGCTCTGAGCTAAGCTGCCTTACAGTGGACATGTATGACTGATCTGTGATCCACGCTCCCCCTGCCCTTATTCTGCAAGGGGAGTGGGAATTTCGGGGGCAAGGGATCGTTGGGAATAGGATCATGTCTTAAATGATGGCGGCAAAATCAATGGTGCTTGTCTGTCAAAGACCTGAGAATCCAGAATGCAGTTTGGGCAGTGCCTTGCGGCTGCAGGATGACGCCTTGAGCCTGGAGCGTGGGCACCATTCTGGGGAGGGAGAGGCTCTTTCCAGGGAGTTTCTGCAGTTCTCAAAGGGTTTGTAGGGTGAAGCTCTTCAAAGAGATCAGCTCGAGCAATGAGAGGTGGTGGTGAGAGAGAAAGCCGCTGACATAAACAAGCCTCTTCTGCTGTCCTGGTTTCAGCTGAGCAAAAGGCTCTGGCTGAAGGGAAGGGGATGGGGATATGAAACGTTACTGGGCTGAGGACCCTGAAGGGAATGTGGGGGGGAGATGTGGGACTGATCCCTCTGCCTGCAGCTGAGCCGAGTGGCCCCAGGCTCGCTGCCTCCTGACCCCGGAGGCAGGATGTAGCTCTGGCTGCATGCGTAAGGTGGAAATGTCTCCTGAATTGACTCCTCTTTATCTCTCCTCCTGCAGTGCCTGGAGAAGTTTCCTGTGATCCAGCACTTTAAGTTCGGCAGCCTGCTCCCCATCCAGCCTGTGATGTCCTAAGGAGGCCGTGGGAGGAGTCGAGGCAGCGGAGGCAGTTTCTTCCTCCTCCCCTCACCCCTTCCTCATCACCTTGCCCGTTACACACAGCCCATTCATTCCTGCACATCCTCATCGGCAACCGCAGATCCAAAGCCCTCGTCGGCCTCATGCAGGAGACGGGACCTCGGAGCGGCTCCTCCTGCACGTCCCCAGCATGGGGATGTCTCGCCAGCAACCAAGCTAGGGCTGTGCTTCTCTGCTCCGTTGCGTCCACGGGCAGCGCGCCTGCTGCGTACGGTGCTGGGCGTGTGAACGGGGTTTGAGCAGGGGCTGCCTTGCAGCAAAGGCCCTCTGCTTCCCTTCCTGGGAGGAGGGGGGTGTGGAGGGGGAGGAAGGCATGTGTGTATGTGTTGGGCAGTGGTAACGGCAATTTCCCTTTTGAATTTCATTGAAGTTTCCTGTTGCTGTTTGGTTTGGGAAACCACTGCGAGGAGTGAGGTGTGAGTCTGCACGTGCCTGTAGGCAGCCACCTCTGCTTCCACAGGGGGGTCTGAAACGGGTAAAGGAAGTTGTAGGGAAGGTCTGTGGGTTGCTGGAAGCCCAGGGTGCCATCTCTCCCTTACTCTGGGTAAGGAAAGCCTCCTCCCTCCTCCCTCCATCTCTTCTGTGAGGTTCCCTGGGTCTTCCTTTCCCACCACCACCTCTTCTCTCGGGTGAAGCTGGGAACCTTCTGGGCTGCGGGGGTCTGAGCTGGCTCTGGAGCCGGAGATAAGGTCCCCAGAGGGACCCGGCTCTGTGGGAACAGCTATGCAAAGACATCGCTTGAGCGGCGCTTGCTCAGGCTCCTTCTTAACGGGCACAAAACCTCACATGTTCACACACGTTTGTTGCTGGGTCCAACCTGCCCTCTGCACTCCCCGTTTCCCCCTCTGTGCTTTGCTGCCCCGGGGCTGGGCTGGCCTCAGTGGCACAAGGTGACCATGGTTGCTACTGCTTGGCCATAAATTGTAGTGACAGCCCCATAGCAAAGGGATTTCCCCACGAAGCAGCATGTTCCCCAGCTCTTAGGGAGCAAAGGCAGCATGGGGGGTGGGGGGGGGCAAGCATGCAGCTTTACGTGCATTTATATACCTGTGCTGGAAAGAAAAAGCATAAATAGCCCAGGACAGTGGG